ATATCGACTTGCTAATCGTTCGTCTCTATTTAATACTTGTTTTTTATATTATAAAGTTTTTATTGTAGTAAATAACAAAACGTTGTTTTTAATTATTTATTATAATTTAAAATGTTAAAATAGTATTCTATTCACAACTGGTGAAGTAACAACTCCTGATGAGTGTTAGTTGAACGTTAGGCTTAGCAGACAACTAGTGATATAAGAAGTTATATGTTAATAACAGTATTCTATCGACAACTGGTGAAGTAACAACTCCTGTTGAGTGTTAGTTGAACGTTAGGCTTAGCAGACAACTAGTGATATAAGAAGTTGTATGTTAATAACAGTATTCTATCGACAACTGGTGAAGTAACAACTCCTGTTGAGTGTTAGTTGAACGTTAGGCTTAGCAGACAACTAGTGATATAAAAGTTGTATGTTAATAACAGTATTCTATCGACAAGTGGTAAAATAAAAACTTGCTGAGTGTCAGTTGAATGTTAGGCTTAGTAAAAGTCGAATAATACAAGTTTTGTGTGAAACAATATTCACTCGACAGTTAGTGCAGTAGCAACTTCACTCTGCTGAGCAGAAACAAAAGTGCCTATTGATTAAGTGTCAGTGAAGAAACAGATATTTTGTAAATAAAACCAAGGATTACTCCCGAATCCTGCTTTTGTTAAATCAATTGACACACGTAATAGCAAATGATATGGCTACATAGAAACAAGTGCTTGTATAAGTGTAACGAGATTTGTCTGAAGAAGCAAAAATTGAATTCTTACTGGATTCGAACAGTGACTCCATTAAGAAAGAGGGCGTTTTATAGCTTTTTGATCTTTCATGTGCCATTCACTACAATTTTTTTTCATTCTTTATAACTGTCGATTACCACCCACTTATGTTTGCACTTGTTTGGCTATTAAAACTAGTATTTTTAAAACCTTACACGAAAAACATTATAATATATTTGGTTTTCATTTGAAAAGAAGGGTTTGTTTTAGAACTCGTTTTACACAAATATTAAAAATTACGGCCTTCTCTGTTACTATCCATCGTGAATAATAAAGTAATTAGAATTGGTTATAAAAAAAAGTGTTATTGTTTCATTGAGAAAATAAATATTTGTATAAATAATTACGTGAACAAATTTTGCTTGACTACGAAGTTTGAACTCATGCTAAATAAAACGTGAAATATACGATCACTTAATGGATATTTTTGTATTGTATGAAATATAATAATATATTTAGGTGTCTTATTTTTGTGTTTCAATTGACTTTTTATTTTACCTCAAAATACTTTTAGAATATTGAGTGTTTGTTTTTGAATTTCGCGCAAAGCTATGCGAGGGCTATCTGCGCTAGCCGTCCCTAATTTATCAGTGTAAGACTAGAGGGAAGGCAGCTAGTCATCACCACCCACCGCCAACTCTTGGGCTACTCTTTTACCAACGAATAGTGGAATTGACCGTCACATTATAACGTCCCCACGGCTGAAAGGGCGAGCATGTTTGGTGGGGATTCGAACCCGCGACCCGCAGATTGCAAGTCGAGCGCCCTAACCACCTGGCCAATATTGAGTGAATAATATTTTCCCGTAAACTTCGCTTCTAGTGTACATTGTGGGTCAACAATCAGTCTGAGGGACAATAAACAAAGAAACTATATTGTAAAAATCGACATCGGCCTCCGATTAGACGGCGGTAAGTCTGTGGATTTACAATGCTAAAATCCGTGCTTCGATCCCTACAGTGGAAAGAGCATACAGTCATATATGACTCTGCCATCAAACGTGAGGAGCAGTGGAACACACAGGTTTCCTGCTATTCTGCTGCACACACACACAAAACAACAACATTTTTTATTTTCAAAATAATATTTTTATACACTTGTATTGTTTATGGTATGTTTTACATAAAAGTAATGAAACATCTGCAGCCCGAACGGGAGCCATCTGTGGCTTTATTATTAAAAGTATGTTATCTGATAGTATAAGATTACATATATGACGTTCAAGTCTAGTTCATAATCTTTCAATACGTTCATTGGTCCAAAACTTTAAATCAAAATATTATCGTATGATTTACAAATATATGTCAAACGAAATTATTCTGCACGAGTTACTTCCAAATGATGTTTAACTGGAAAGTCATATTAAATAATGATGTCGTTAGGGGGTCTTGGGTTCCATCAAAACTCTGTAGGCCTCTTGAAAACACTCCTACCACAAAAATACCACAACTTAGTACCTGGTAATCTCAATATAATACGTTGAATACCACAACTTAGTACCTGGTAATCTCAATATATTACGTTAAATACCACAACTTAGTACATGGTAATCTCAATATAATACGTTAAATACCACAACTTAGTAACTGGTAATCTCAATATAATACGTTAAATACCACAACTTAGTAACTGGTAATATCAATATAATACGTTAAATACCACAACTTAGTACTGTTAATATCAATATAATACGTTAAATACCACAACTTAGTAACTGGTAATCTCAATATAATACGTTGAATACCACAACTTAGTACCTGGTAATCTCAATATAATACGTTAAATACCACAACTTAGTACCTGGTAATCTCAATATAATACGTTAAATACCACAACTTAGTACATGGTAATCTCAATATAATATGTTGAATA